TCAGATACATTTCAACAGAGATTTCATACTAATTACATATATTTCATTTTCTAATAGCTTTTGTAGCAAGCAAAGAATTGCTATAGGTATAAAAATAGGTGCTCTAAAATAAACTGCGATACATCATATTGTGACCAAATCAAGCCACAACTCGAGGATCGCAAGCGCGTCTTGCCGGAATCAAAAACCCTATTTTATCCCGCGAGCATCTTTCTCTCCGTTGCGTCACTTTTGCACGTGTTACCGTACACGTGTGAAAACCCGGCGAGCGCGGCCGTTCCCTTTCTTTTCAGCGCGTTCATTAGCGAACCGCTCCGCGAGCTTTTATCGCAATTAGTATTATATAGTAATACATACGCGGTCTCTCAAAATCCTATCTCGGATGCTTTTTTCCTCTATAAACTCTTTGACTCTTTTCAAAATGATTCTCTCTAAAGGAAAATGTTGAGTTGCTGGATTTCGAGATTAATAAGAAACAGAAAAAATAAAGTTTTTTATAAGTTAAATTTCAGACAATACATAAAATATTTGTGATAATACATAAAGTATTTCTCAGCTTATTTTACATAAACTTTAATAAAATTTCATATCAAAAGTGAGTTACAATAAAAATCATGTCAAATTTGAAAATTTGAAGTATCATAATTTTTTTCCAAAAATTAAAAGAAAATCGTTCTTCAAATGGATCGAGGAATCTCTAACGAAAAAAAGAGGATATTCGATTTTAGTGCAGTCTGTGTCTTCGCGGTAGCAAAAAGGATGAGAGATTTCTGCAGGAGAAAAAAAACTCTTCGAGATCGCTCTTCGAGATTAAACCCGGTCGATGACGGCTCGAAGCCGACCGCGTTAATCCGGATTTTAACGCTGAAAGAGTTCAACTCCTCAGCTAAGACGAACATAGACGAGGATTACATCCTCCAAAAGATATCGTTCGCAACGTGATTTTATTTATAACTCGTAATTAATCATTATTCGATTTATGCAAAATTATTTTGCACACGACAAATTGCTTTTGGTTTTTCGGGAATCATAAAACATACTGACATGTTTAAAAATAATATAACGGAAACATAATATAATCTAATCTAACTTTTATTCGTGTCAAATAACGTTTTGTTAAATTTTATTCGATCGATTTTCTTAAGTCGAATATCAAGACTACTTTTATATCAATATATAAATTTTATTTATTATTATATGTATGTGTGATAGTATATCTTCTGATATAATACAACGGTAATAGAGAGTGGAAGTTTTTAGACGAACAGTATGGTTAGGGAAGCATAACCTGCCTACTTTACTTTTAAAGAAATGCTTGAATTACAATAACCGCACCAGTATTGAAAATCATATCGTGACACGATAAATCACAGAAAACCGGTGCAAAAGTTCATATTGCAAATTTGAATGTGCTTTGGTTATATATAGGATGCGATCTTTTGCAAAAACATTCTGCGTACATGTATGTACGCCTCATATTGAAAATCTCGCTTGTCAACAAACTTCACGGTTAGGATAATCGAAGGCGCCACTTGAAAAAATTCAAACTGAAGAGACAAGTTTATGATGGCAATTATCTCGTATTTAAAACTTGTTAAGAAACAAAATAATCGATTTCTTTCGAGACAATAACACAAGCCACCTTCTCATCCACTTGTCCCTTCAAATCTGCTGTATAAATCATCAACCGGCGAGCAAGTCACCGGTCAATGTGGAATAATTCGAAGTGTACTTACCATGCAGAAGAGATTCGCGTCGTCGTCGCGGCCACTTTCGTAGGATACGATCTGTTGCAGCAGAGAATCCACCGGAAATCCGTAGGGGTAGTCTCGTAACTTCCTAGCCGGGTCTCGGAAGCCGTGGTGATCGCTGCGCTTTCTCCCCGGATGAAACACCTCCGAACAGACGGACGGACGGACGGACGGACGGACGGACAGCCGGTCGGTCGTCTCCGGGGGAGAGAACAAAAAGAAGGCGTGCAAATCTCACTGTATACGCGTCAGCCCGATCGCAGCGAGATACGAGAGTCGGAGAGAGCGAGACGGTAAAGGGAAGACGCGAAGAGCTCTGCAACGAACAGAGCCGTACGCGAGACGAACGAACAAACGGACGGACGATCGAGCGCGGCAAACGCACGTACCAACCGTGCGGCGCGCGGGTTCAGCGGCCGACTGAGAGGATGCAGTTCGCTCGCCGGACCCCTGGTGGCCCCTCGTGGTTCTGAGCGCCTCCCCCACCGCCGCGCCACCGCTCGGCGAGAGAGACAAAGCGGCTGCGCGCGCAGCCTCGCATTTTTTGACCCTCCGTCGCGGCCCCGTCCACCCCGCCACCGCCGATCCCCCACTTCTCGCTTCCCTTAGGTTCGATTCACCGTGCGAGGGCATATATGTATATATACCGCTTGCAACGAGTAAACGTATATGTATATATATGTATGCTCGACCAATGTAACTGACAAATGTGTATGCGAGCGCGAGCGCGCAGAATCCTTAGCTGTGATCAAGTCTCCGCTTCGATGGACCGGGGAGAGGGTCGTTGTAAGCACTGTTTACACCCCGCGATGGAAAGATTGGCGAATTTAATAGAACGCGTACAATTGCTTAAAGCCATGGACGACCATGGTCAACAAACCGATGCGAAGCGACTTTCCGGGTGAAATACAATTTCTACTTGTAAGATCTGCTCTTTGTAACTGCACTTACGCTTTCGCACTGAAGGTTCATAATTAAATGTTGGAGAGAAAAAGAGGGAAAATGAACAGAGCAGAAAATACAACTGCAAAGAACAAATCTATAAAGTTGGTAGAATTGAAATTCAGATGACGTGATTAGATTTTGGTTCGCGTGAAAAACGAATAGGGGAAAATTAAATAAAAAGTGTTAATTAAATTGTGAAATTTTTTTAAATAAAACCTCTACTTCAATACAGATACTAAAAAATTACACACACACACACAAATTAACAATATTAATTATTACATTCTAAATACTTTGTTATGTAAAAAAATGATGTTAAAAAAAATTTGCTTGAAAAATAATATACACTTATTGTTAGTTTTGTTTATTGAAAAATTAGAAGAACTTTAACTTTCCTGATAATATTTTAAGAATAAAAGAAATACATTATGAAAAAAATATCGGACAATTCAACACATCTTATATCTTTTGTATCTCGCTAAATTTTTTCCTTTTGAAATTGCAATATACAAATTTCAATGATTTGCAATGGAAGTAACCTAATCTTTGTTTATTATCTTTTTTTTTTTTCTATTAGCGTTCTTTAAATATAGACGTTAAAACTCGTGTTTTTGCACGATACGTTTTATCCATACATTTCTCCGTTAATAAGAGAAAGTCTCTTCTATTTTTAATGAAGGAATAATGCACCGACGAAATGAACTTCTGGATACCGCCTTGTTCACGTACGATATCGTTCTGCTATAACAACGCATTTCGCTTTTCTCCTAAGAGACTCACCGTCTCGATAGCAGTTATCAAAATAAATACAGTCTCTTTAAAAATGATAAAAGTCTTGATATTTTACATGTAACCCTTCTCGAAACGTAATCTAATTTATTCTATTAAAAAAGCTACGCATAATTGATTTCAGATTATATGTCTCAATATAGCATATATGAAAAATCGAATATGAGTATACGTGCTGACTTAGATTAGATATGGATCTTTTCATCGCGAATCGAATAATCGTCATCAATTTCGAAACATGTGTAATTAAACGAAAGCGCGTTTTTCCCGTGGAGAAAGATTTCGCGATAGCAAAAATATCGTCGAAACTCTCTCGTCCCTAGGAATTAATAATGGCGGTCACGCTAAGAGTACCACAGACAGATGGTCTTTATTATTTATTTCTTTTTTTCTACGCGTATCTAACGGGAGGGAAGAAGAATTATAGAACCGAAGAAAATAAAATACATTTTCCGCTATTGCGCGCGCTTTAATTGGTCATTATTAAGTCTCCCTCTCGATGCAATTACCTCGGCCCTTTCGCGCTGCTATATGCAGTAATTACTATACCTTGTTTACTAATAGCCATGCCGCCGGATATCATAGTTGATAGCGGTTACGCGATATAGGAGCAGCGTCATAGGGCAGCTCGATGCGAATTACGCATTGTCGTAGACCGTGCATAAAGCGCGGGTAAATTTGCATAAATACTAAGGGTCTGTCGACTAACGAGATGTTTAATACATGGAGTTTACCTGATAGTGATGTGGTTGCGGTAGGCGTTTCGTCATCTCCGACACGCTTCCGTGCCATTTCTATTCCATTTTAATGCGTATTACTGCGCGCGTGCACCTCTTAAAAGAAATGCCTTTATTACTTAATGAGAGACTTAATAATTGTTTCCTCGTTAATGGCAACTACATACTTACTTATCACAGTAATTGCGTTGATTGTATTGTTTAGAGTTGTATCGATTTTACAAGCATCGTGCCTCTCGCTGCGATTATGAAATCTAGCGAATCATAGTCTCTATTAATAAGTGAGCCCATTAACCTCATTTTAAACGATAATAGCAAGGATTGATAAGCAGTGAAATATTTCGATCTACAGAATTATAATTTATTACTGTTTAATAAAATTATTATTTGCAGATTACGTTAGAGAAATGTTTACGAATATTTTTAGAACAGAAAAAAACTTTTGTGATACTTTTTATGTGTACAGTTTAAGTAATTTTCGTCAAAAGCTGTAAAGATTGTAAAAGAATAGATTTACAGAGCATAATATTTTGATTCGTTTCGTTTATTCCAGTAATTCATGAAAATAAAACACAACATATACGAAAGGAATAAACATGTGAAATATATGATGGATCAAGGAAGTGCGATAAATGCATCCTAGTTTATAGGTAAAGAAACGACATCTGCTGTTCGCGATACGTAACTTGTAAGAAGCAAAATCCCATTCAAGTTCTCTTACAATTTTCATGCCATATAAAAACATAATTCTATGATCTATCTTATTATTATTATTTGAGACTGAAAAAATTAACACAATTCATTATTATTTATTACAAAATATAAACAAAGGGACATAAAGCCGATTAGGCGCCATTCTTATGATCAGCTGATGCTCTCAATTTTACGAACGTCGCCAGTAGTTTAAATATAATTTTATACACTTACGTAATATGTTTATGAAAGCGATTTCGATGGCTATAAGTCTAATCTGTGATTAATCGCACAATTAAACAATTGTATTGTTGTCCATACAACGTATAAAGTGCAAAAGCCAATATTAGACAACAGTATTATTCGCCGATAATGTTATGTGCTATACTATGAAGACAATATTTGTTATTGCGACATTGGTACGATAAGGTTATAATTCTATTCTGTGCGGCTAAAGTGCTCGAGAAATCCTTTCGAAAACATTAGCTTTGCAGAGTTTTCGCACACACGTAAGGAGAATTATCTGTTAAACTTTCAGATAACCTGCATATTAGCATTTGAAGAGGAATTATTGCACTATGTCAGTGACGATGTACCCGGTGGTTCCTACAAATATTACAGCTTGACATACGACGGTTATATTAAAATACGGCTCACATCACTGTGAGTTTCTTGCATTCTAGTCCAACATTTTTAATTATCTTATTCATTAAACAGAAATTTTTATTTTTCTTTTGTTAACTTATATATGTTGTATATATTGTATATTTTATACTTTTTAGAACAGGTGATGCAGATTTATATGCATCACAAACTACAACTAAACCAACGTATGAACCAGATCATTATTGTTTGCAATCGACAACTTGTGGGGAAGATATTATTTTCATTCCCAAAAGGTATTACATATTATATTCTTATAAATTTACTTTTAGCATTTTATATAATATGTTGTTAATCTTCAGCTTTAAACGACCTGTGAGTATTGGTGTTTATGGCCATCCATCACATGAAATTAGTAAATATACTCTTTTGGTATCGGAGTTAATTATTGAAGACGACACCATACCATACGATCAAACATCAAGGAGTAGTTATAAAGATCGAGATAAAGTAAACGGCCATATAAATTATTACTTTTATATTTTTATTTTATATAAAGATATATATTTTAATTATTTTTCATAACATCTTATTCTAGAGGGTCCACATCTCATTTTTTGCTAATTTGATTTGGTATTTCATGGATTTCTTGTTTCAACTATTGTTTTAAACATTAAAATAATTAAGGAATTTAAAAATTGAGTTGGGATATATCAATAAACATGTTGGAATATGAAAATCAAATGTTCCTTGAAATCATTCAAGAAGATGGATTAGTTATTGCAGCTAAGTAAGTATCATTATTTTGCTCTTGCTATCATATATCAAATAACTTGTCTAATCATTGAATGGAAAATATTATAGGGGTCTTGGTATAGAAACTGTTTTTGCTAATGTAATAAAAGCTTATTTGGATCCAGGCAACTTAGTTATAATCCTAGGAACCACTGATCATGATGAGCGTTACTTCATTGATCTGCTTAAAAGTTATGGAACTAATACTTTGCCACATATTATCAATGCTGAATGTACTTCTAATGAAAGGTATATTAAAAAACATTTTATTTTTTTGTTTTATATATGCATTTAATAAAATCTGTTATCAAACTTGATAGGGAAATAATATATTTGGAGGGTGGAGTGCTGTTTATATCAGGTCGTATCTTGGTGGTAGATTTATTAAAGAACAGAGTTCCATTGCACTTAGTCACTGGTATTCTTGTATACAGAGCGCACAATATTCTAAATGCGTATCAAGAAGCATTTGCGCTGCGTTTGTACAGACAAAATAATAAGACTGGATTTATCAAGGCATTTACAAATTCGTCATTGGCTTTTACAGTTGGATATTCACGAGTAGAGCGAGTTATGAAAGCCCTATTTGTAAAAAAATTATATTTATGGCCGCGCTTTCACGCAACTGTTAATAATTGTTTGTCTCAACACGAGCCTGATGTTATAGAATTACATGTACAAATCACACCAAAAATGCAAAACATCCAAACAGCTTTGCTTGATGTTATGAATTATATTGTGAAAGAATTGAAGGGACTTAATAAATATCTAGACTTAGAAGAATTAACTGTGGAGAATGCAATAGCAAAAAAATTTCACAAGCAATTACATTTGCAATTAGATCCAATCTGGCATCAACTTAGTACAACAACCAAACAATTATTTTCTGATTTAAAAACCTTGCGATCCTTTATTATATCTTTGACATATGAAGATTCGGTTTCATTCTACGCTATGTTGAATCGTTTACGGACTATGGAATATGCCGTGAAAGCCAGTGGCTGGATAATGTTGGATGAAGTCGAAAATTTATTTAAGTATGCCAGAAACAGAGTTTATACACATAAAGATGAATTAAAGCCAGAACCAAATCCAAAATGGATAGCTTTGTCAGAAGTTTTATCTGAGATTCAAGAACAAAAATGTAAAAAGAAAGACAGTGAAAATATTAATAAAGTTCTTATCTTAGTTCATGATAACAATATATGCAAACAATTGAAGAATTATTTAACTATGGGTGCAAATAAATACTTATTTTATGAAGCCCTAAAAAAATTGTCACATAATAAAGAACAAAAGGCAAGTAACAATAATGGAAAAAATATGAAAGAGCAACAACCAACATCTGAAAATAATACAGATGAAGATACACAAAATGATCCAGACACTTATGTACTCACTTTGACGCAAAAATGCATAGAAGAAACTGAGCCAAGTACTTCCACAGAAGACATAAAACATCAGACATTATTTGAGGAATGCTCGCAAGTAATTTAAATATATATATTATAGTAAATATATATGTGTGTGTGTATGTGTGTGTGCGCGGGCGCGTATATTTATAGAAAATACTATTCTATATAAATTATTCTGTGATTTTAAAGCTGGCAGATTTAGATGTAACCAATTGCGCGACATCCGCACCCATTGTTTTCATACAAGCTATAAAGAAGGGAGGAGACTCGATGGCTTTACAGAGAGCGTTAACTGAGCATACGCCGAACAATATTATTTTATACGTAGCCGATATCGGTACCGTGAGACAATTAGAAGTGTATCAAAATAATAATCCGTCATTAGATCTGAAAGTATATTTTTTGATTTATGGCGGATCTGTCGAGGAACAAGAATATCTTACTTCCTTACGTCGGGAAAAAGAAGCATTTCACTCTTTGATTATTACGAAAAGTGTAAGAGTTAAATTATTCAATAAACAAAATATGATATTGAGCAATTACATTATAATTTTTATTGCTTTCTCAGACCATGGTTGTGCCAGAAGATCAAGATGGAAAATCGGGAGATTGTCTGACTCTTGCAATTCAATCAAATAATACAAATGAAGAAGATACACGTAAAGGTGGAATACAATCCGAAGCAAAAATAATTCAAAAAGTTATTGTTGATATGAGAGAATTCAGAAGTGAATTACCTGCTATTTTGTATACACGTGGTATAAAAGTTGAGCCAGTGACATTAGTGGTGAGTGAGATATAATGAGAAGTTTATGCATTATTTCTAATTATATGATTTCTAATGTTATTACAGGTGGGTGACTATATTCTTACACCAGAAATATGTATAGAAAGGAAAAGTATATCTGATTTGATTGGTTCGTTGTTTTCCGGAAGATTATATAATCAAGCAGTTGCTATGACGAGGCATTATGCCAAACCTATGCTCCTCATAGAATTTGATCAAAATAAGCCATTCTGTTTCCAGGTATATATATAGACAATCTTATAAAGGGTGCATCCACAATCACTCAATGAGCAGCTGTTCATGATTGATATATATGTTTACAATCTAAAAAGTAAATCAATCATGAATAATCGCTCAGTGAGCAGTCGTGCTATTGGATTGATAACATAAAAGCGCACTCTTTTATTTCTTTCTACATAATAATTATTTATGTATATCTATTATTTTAGGGAAATTATTATGTTAGCAGAGACCTTAAAAATACTGAAATAACAGCGAAGTTACAGTTATTAACACTTCATTTTCCTAAACTAAAACTTATTTGGTCTCCTAGTCCACACGCTACAGCACAATTGTTTGAAGAATTAAAGGTAATGTATAAATTTAAAACAAAATTATTAATTTTATTATAATTAATATATATGATAATTAATAGATATTTAATTTATATATTTGTAGCAAGGACGAGATCAACCTGATTCAAATGTAGCTGCTAAAATTGGAGCAGATGAAGATACAGAAAACAAACAACTAATGGTAGAAAAATATAACTCTAATATTCAAGATTTTATGGCTAAATTACCTGGTGTGCATTCGAAAAATCTGCGTATTCTATTAAATAAAGGACAATCATTAAGTCATCTTATCAAATTTACACAAGTAAGTGAATAATAATTAAGGTTTATCTTTCTTTAATAATATATAATTTTTGTTATACTGTTTGTAAATATTCAGAAAGATATTCAAAAGTATATATGTGTAATTAGGAAGAACTAAAAGAAATATTTGGGAATACAAATGATGCTGAATTATTATATAAAGCTCTGCACGAAAAATGCTCCCAAACAGATGAAAAATCATTGGCTAGCAAGGGTGCTTCTAAAGTGCGGGGTAAGAAACTTTTCTCCAAAATAAAAAAATGATGTGGATAATATGTTCGCAATAAACATTTGTTAGAGGAAGATTTTTATGTATTATTATATGAAATGAAAATATGTTATTGTGTCAGTATAACTGTATACATGTTTTGATTTCATAAATATGTGTTTTCATAAAACAAAATATGCTATATATTGTGTTAACATAATTAAAAAATAGTACATTATAAAAAGGCAATATAAATAAATTTATTATGTAATAACAGCACAAGAGTATATAAAAAGATTTTTTAGTATACATGTATATACAATATATATCTCTCTCTCTCTCTCTCTCTCTCTCTCTCTCTCTCTCTCTCTCTCTCTCTCTCTCTCTCTCTCTCTCTCTCTCTCTCTCTCTCTCTCTCTCTCTCTCTCTCTCTCTCTCTCTCTCTCTCTCTCTCTCTCTCTCTCTCTCTCTCTCTCTCTCTCTCTCTCTCTCTCTCTCTCTCTCTCTCTCTCTCTCTCTCTCTCTCTCTCTCTCTCTCTCTCTCTCTCTCTCTCTCTCTCTCTCTCTCTCTCTCTCTCTCTCTCTCTCTCTCTCTCTCTCTCTCTCTCTCTCTCTCTCTCTCTCTCTCTCTCTCTCTCTCTCTCTCTCTCTCTCTCTCTCTCTCTCTCTCTCTCTCTCTCTCTCTCTCTCTCTCTCTCTCTCTCTCTCTCTCTCTCTCTCTCTCTCTCTCTCTCTCTCTCTCTCTCTCTCTCTCTCTCTCTCTCTCTCTCTCTCTCTCTCTCTCTCTCTCTCTCTCTCTCTCTCTCTCTCTCTCTCTCTCTCTCTCTCTCTTCTTTCTCTTCTCTCTCTCTCTCTCTCTCTCTCTCTCTCTCTCTCTCTCTCTCTCTCTTTCTCTCTCTCTCTCTCTCTTTCTATCTTTTATTCATTCTTTAATATATTTATGATTAAGGAAAAAAATGATCACAAGATTAATAAGTAATTAATCAATTGATTGCAATTTTAATTAGATGATAGATAATATTAATAAGATTAAAAAATTCGCAATTTTTTTATAACTCATTATATAAGTCTTGCTTTGTATTTTCGTCTATCGATTTTTATATAACTATTAGTACACACTGCTGTATCAGATGCACTTATTCGAGTCAATTTATCAATATAGTTGCATTTTCTATTCAATGTACATGTGTTTTGATACATATATTTGCATGTGTTTCATAATTTTGAGGAAATTTCTTGAGAAGATATCAAGATTTTCACATATATGTATGTACAATTAATTTATATAATTTATGGAATTTATATATAATAATAATAAGCTTTATGAAAATAAACATAACTATGATAAGTTAAGTTAGGTTTATACGAATCGAATATTCGTATAGTAATATGCTGTATTGTGATCTTGTCCGTTGAATCAACTATATACTTGTAAAGTGATGTTCTCCTTCAATGCTACTTTTTTTATTATTCATATTTACCACATGATCACATTAGAATGAGAAGACAAATGAAAGCGCGCAATGATATTTTCACTTTGCTTATGTATTATTTAAAAAAAAAGTGGAGATTGAAGGAAAACTGCACAATAAGAACAATGATTTTGATGACTTTATATAATAATACAGACAGTTGACTATATTTCTTCTACCCACATAGATTTATCGTCAAACTGTAACTTGTATTATATATGTTCTTTTGCAAGATTTAACAATAATTGCGAAAATAAATTGTCGAAAAACAGAGAAATTGTATGTCTACTCGTTTTGGTGAATAATTTATTTCCATTCAATCCGTCGATTCCAGATTCCTCTTCGATAATATTAATAAATTATAATTATAATTACAGAATTATAATTTTACAAGACTTATACATATATATATATATATATACATATATGTAACAATACTTCTCACAAAGTGCAATGATTATTCATTAATTAATAGAATTTCAAATTATATCTCATCAAGACAGAAACGTTATTTATAAATTAGACCTGAAATTTTTTGAATACATATGTTTTTCTTATTTGTATTAATTTATTTTTAATATATGTCAAGTAAATTTTTGTTTAAATATTACTTACATTGCTTCAGTAAGATTTTCAATGTCACTTTCTTCATCGCTGTTACTAGTTGCATCAAGATTGTATAAAAATGAATCATTTTCTGACATAGGAAAATAATATCTGCATAGGATAAAACATATTTTTAATATAATTTATCTCTCTTATGTAGATTAGATCAATTTTACACGATTTTAATCATTCTTACTCTGGTTGATTCCAAACTTTCTGTGCAGGAATTTTACAATGTTGTTGATTCTTCATGTGCTCTAAGACATTATCTGATTTTGCTTCACAAAAAATACATTGTTGTAGTTGAATTTGTCTCTTTATATAATTGACTACTTTCACCTATAACAACAATAACACATTATAGAAAAGTACATCATTAAAAATATAAAATTGATTATACGACATAATCACCTTCTGATAAAAAGTCAAGTCTTTGACTGTTTCTTCAAAATCGAAATTATGAGCTTCTTTCATATGTCTCAAGGTACAGGCAAATTCATTATTGCTATAATTACATAATAGACATATTATTTCAATAGATTCATCATTCCAATCAGACCATGAATTTTCTTCATCTTCATTTTCACTACTTCCACCTCCTAGATCCAGATTCTTTTCTGAATTTGGCTATAAACATTGAGAAAAAATACATTTTTAAAACCTTAGAACTTTTTACTCTTTAAACTTTCATTACCTGTCCTTGCTTCCAAACTGTTCCTGATTCTAAATAATTGTTTATATAAAATTTATCGTACAATTTATTATAAGGATTTATACATTTGTGGAATTTTTTTCGCATATGTTCCTTTAGTACTGTACGATCCTTAAATACTTTCTCACAGTAAATACATATTAAGCTAAAAAAATTAAATAAGTACTGTATAACATTGTGCATTTGTAAGCATCATATAACATTAAAATAACATGTAAATTGTAATTCTTGAATGTAATACCTTTCAATATTATTCTGAATTTTGTCCAAAAGCTCATCAACAAATACTAAGTTTTCTGGCTTGCCAAGATGAAGATTGTGCTTTTGAAAAAGATGTTTTATATACATAATACGCGATCCACAGAATTCTGTACGGCAAAACATGCAACCACGCTTAAAACTTTTATCCGTACGCTCAGCTTCTTGTTGCGCTAATGCCCATTCCTTAAAATAATAATGTATCTTCATCAAATTATATATTAGACATAACAAATAATAATTTATAATTTTTCCATTGATGTACATACTAATTTAGCCTGATGTATTTCACTTCTCAAAGTCTTGTCTTCTGATAGACAGTCAGAAAGCAAAAAGTAATGTTCATTTTTACTTGGCTGACCATCTGGTGTACAATCCATTAATAGTGTTGTACAATAAGTCGTCAATGGTTCCTCCTTAAACTTTACGCTCCAGTAATGTATATAACTAAAATTATTGATCAGAATTATGTTATATTTGATTGCTAAACATAAGATTGATAGATATAAGTAACATGATATATAAAAATTATCATACCTTCTCAAACTAGCTATTTTTGTAACATCCGCTATAACGAGACGATGCGCCTTGAATAAATGCGTAAGGAAATCCGTTTCATTTATCGGAAGAATAAATGTACAATCGCATAACAGGCATTTTGTATCGCACGGTTTATCATCGAGACCAATAAATTGAGATTTATACATTGCGCATAATATATATATATATATATATATATCTATTGCGCATAATATATATATATATATATATCTAAAGTCTAAATTTAATACAAGTCTTTTCGTATCACGATTATACTTTATTTTGTTAAAATCTTCAAAGACACTATTTATTTTGCCGCAAAAAGATCTTGCTGACAACGAATTATTTTCAGAACTATACGTCAGCAGCAAATTTTATTTTTTAGTATCGAGAAATATGTGCATTTTGTATAGATTTGAGATTACATACGAAATCTTAATAAATTTATATATTTTGTGCGATTACGATAGATCTCATATAACATAGTACATACATATAACCACAATATACAATAAAGCACACAAGCTTTATCTTCACTACGTTTATTTCACGAAGCAAAATTATCTATAATATATAAGAGTTTACATCAGCTGATCGCGATGATGCGCATTAAGCATTAGCGCATTAAACAAAGTTCTTTTTATTATGCCTGATTTTAATCAAATCGAAAATAGTATTTTTATAACTTTTTCTCATCTTATATATTTTTCTCTCGTTATTTCAAACATTATTGACAGTTGTATTTATAATTTATGATAACTACATAATACACACTGTCAAGGGACAAGGGACAAAGTCGCGTGCAGTGTGCAGTCGTGTGTCGTGTCGCGTCTGGTGTCTGGCTGTCTGGTCGCATCAGTCATCAGTCGTGTTGTTGCGTTCGTATGTCTTGTCCTTTCTGATTCCTTCGTTCGCATGCAGGATGAATATCCTTTGCGTTATATGTCACGACTTTTTACAACCATCCGAGACAGTCGTTTTCTCTCACTGTGGACATGTGTTTCATTTCAGCTGCTTATCACGATGGCTTGAAAGGTAATCACGTTTGATGGTTATGTTTTCATACAATGAATATATATGATTAGCTCTGTTTTAATTGCACTTTCTACACTTCGTATCTTTTCTCTTTCTCTTTTCAAAGCCTAAATATATTTCTTATCTCATTTTAAATGCAAAAAAATGCAGGTAAAATAAACATTCATTGTTGTGAGATTTTAATTTCTTTGATCTCTTATTGTCTTCTGGATTCCATCTCTAAAAAAAGATAGAAAACCAATTTAAGATATAAACTAATTTTAACTAATTTTTATTTATGCTTCAGATCGAAAACTTGTCCGCAATGTCGTGAGAAAGTGACAGAAAATAGAATCTATAAAGCTTATTTCACGTTTCCGAACAGTGAAACCGTCTTAGATAATGGAGACAATTCGTCTTTCCAAGGAAGGATCGATAGTCTGCAATTTCAAATTTTACTGAAGGATAAAAATATCAAATATCATATTTCAAAGAATGCGACTCTGGAAAAACAAAATGCTGGCCTTAGGCAGGAAGTACGCAAAGTAGAAAGCGAAATTAATCAGAAAAATTCTGCTATTCACGCTTTAAAGGAACAAATAACATATTTTAAGGAAAAATATGGAAAATATAAAGTTCTAGTACAGAAACTTTCTAAAAAAGAAAAGGAATTGGAACAATTCCAATAGTATGTTTGTTAATGTTAATCATTTGTAATAGTTCTCGATCGAATATTTATAATTTACTGTTTAAACTGATCTTTGTTGTACCTTTTTTCAGCATGCGCGATACGTTTTCAAAGGGCTCAGTAGAAGATATTAGAAGAGTGATTGAGAAAACAAAAGATCATGATACTTTAGTTACTTGCATTTCTGTTATGAGAAAGTATGTCTTTTGTTTATATTCTTGATTTTAATATTACACTTATTTGTTTTTTATTTTAGATTACTGTCAAAGTCAAATAAAATCGAAACTTTTCAAGATCAGTTTACAGTGAAGCGTAATTTCTTTGTTGAAAAACTATCTAAGAGAATATATGTATTTTCAGTTGTAAGATCTAATTTCTTATATTGTTATTCAACAAAGAAATCATGCTGTATTGTAAGTTCTACTTTTAGAGATTTTTTATTTTTTATATGTAATATAATAATTAGATTTTATAACATAGAATATATATAATGTTTGTATCATATCTTTTTGTTCAGGAAGTTTGAAGAACGTTTAGAATTATGCGAAAGTGAAAATTTATCCTTACGACATCGAGTTAGTAAACTAGAAAACCTTAACACTCTACCAAGACAAAGCCACGTTAGACAATCTGGCAATCAAAGAAACTCTGATAAAAATTCTTCCAATATCGTACAAAAAGTAGTTGTTTATGGTCAGGTAATTAATATAATTATAGAATCTATTATAATGGAAATCGGTTCTATTTATTTTAATATAGCATGTTTATTTAAAACATATTTTGGAAATAAGATTTCTCTCTAAATTCTATGAAAAAAGAGAGAGAGAGAAAATATATTTTGACATAATAGTAGACATCATTTGTATATATAAAGTTTTTTTATTTTTATATGATAATAATTTAGAGGAAATCAGGATTAATTTTTTCTAATTTTCTATATCAAACTTGATACATTATATTTCTAGGATGATTACACATATGTTATGTTTTTTGAACAAAACTTTTTCAATTCTACATGTATAATAAACAACTTTGTATATTTTATATCTTAATTTTAATTTTATTAATTTTATAATTTTTTATTCGTTATTAGACAAACACAAAACGGAAAACAGAAAATCAAAATACTTCATTATCTCCAAGGATAAAAACTGACATTAAGATGAACCAGGGAGACTTAAGCACTACAACTGAATGTCCATCCATTATAAAACGAGCGAAACTGCGACCAGGTAATAGTAGCGATAAAACGAATTGTGCGATTATTGATGCGGTTAAGAGAAATGTTAGAAATATTACAGAGATAAGTACATCATCAAATAACATAAAATTGTTAAACGTAGAAAATCTTTAGTAATATTATTATTAAGCGTTTAAATTAAGCTTAAATTACGCTTAAATTAAACGTTTGTATAAAAATCAATTCACTGTTGAAATTTATTTCTAGTATTGATTTACATCACGTGCTACATTTGTCTAAAATGATATAAATTCTTCTCACAATAATTAACTATTTTATTTTGTTAAAATCTATATTTATATGATAAACGTTGTGGAATTTCAATAAATAACTTTAGAATCTTGTATCTTTGATAAAATAATAAAGACATTTACAATGTCATGCAAGTGCTATTTTTTCAAAAATATATAATATATTAAAATTTGTGTTAAAAGAGAATAGTATACAAGATTTTTTTTCTATATTATTAACTTTATGTATCAATAAGCTGTATTATAACAAAGTAATACTTTATATGAAAAGCTATCTTTTTAATGCAGAGCATATTTAACATTTGCATCTGTAGATATCTACCTCAAGAAAAAATCAAAGCTACACGTGATTTTTGACATAGCAATTTAAAATTACTTGCAACTTTGACTAATCAGATATCAATGCATTCATCTTTTCATTAATTCACTTAGCTCGCTATGTGCCAAACATAGATATAAATAATAAAATAAAAATCGATAATAATATAATGTATAAAACAATGTAGAATATAGGAGAGAGCAAACTAGTTAGATTAATAGAGTAGCTTATTATCTAATTTTCTTGTTGAAGGATCAAGCAACAATCATTTCATTGTATATCTATATAAATTTTATTCAGTATTCGTATCATGTAGGCGCTACATCATTTTCGTATGTGAAGAGATAGACAAAGGAAGAATTTTGAAATCCATATATGTATATATACACAGGATATTTCACGGACACGACATGCTTATTTAAATGTTACAAAACGCATTGGTTCTTATTAATAGCAGTCATCAGTTTTAACAACTGGATTGTTAATTGGAATGCTCTCTTATTCTAGAAACTGAAAATAAGTACTTTGTATATAAGACTAGTTTCGTTCTACTCTTTCGTATTCTATAACTGCAAATGCTATCAATTCAGAATCGTTATTTAAAGCGTCATCTAATGCGTCGACTTTTATATTTATATATACTCGTTTACATATTATTAGTTTTTTATTTATTTAATAGCATATTGTATCTTAAGCGTTGATACGAATGTACAAAAACACACTTTGGCTCTTCAACCAAGCTAAACTCGTAATATATTAAAAAATTGATTATTTAAATTGCCATCATCTTATACTATTATAGTTAATTAGTTCAGGTTTGGTCAATGGTACGGTAATTGCAACATTTTTTGTATGATCTATAATATAAACATCTGAGTGAATAATATTGCGAGATGATAAAATTGATTTTCGACATAATTATCGAATATAATTGTTTAAAATATGTACAGACGTATACTCTCTTAAAATTAAATTAACTTTTAAGCGATGGAATTACAAGATAGATGAAGTACTATTGCATATTTCATTTAATTCTCTTAATAATAATTACACAAATATAACAATAATAACAATAAATAAAAAGATATGATAAAAAACGGAGATACTTATTTTTGAATAGTATCTATATATATGGATGTATATTTAACAAACTATAAAAGTTTTATTACACGTTGTAAATTGCAGATAAGTAAAGTAGCAAAATCATTGTTGCATGTTTTTGCAATACAAATATTATCCTAAGAATAATTATAGTACTTATTTTGTATGAGAAAATCTCCATGAGATTCGTATAATGATTAATCCATTTCATCACATCATCTTTTGTGATTTCAAGTATATACCATCTCATAAATGCATAGTTTTTTGAAATCGCACAACATCCAATTCTTTATTAAAGATTACATTGTATACTAATATCTCAAAGTATACATCCATATCGCGCGCGTGTGTGTCTGATTCGATCGTTGCTGCGATTTGCACGTTTCCTTCGTCAAATTTCTCAAGCTGCACCTTCAAATATCTAATGCCTAATATATTTCGTTCTAGATTAATTTATCGATTGACCCATCTCTTCACCGCTTCCGCCCAATTGGACTCGTTCTCGTCTTCCTTCTCTCCATCTGCCTCCTCTCGTTCACCTCTCTCCTGTTCCTGTTCGCTGGACAATGTGGCCGATGGTGTTTGCGGTATGTTTGCATTACGAGCTCGTAATTCCGCCAGAAAATCGTTTTCCTGTTGATAGCGCCGTTGCAATTCCTCGCGCCAAGAATTTCCACCACCGCTACTGTCATCCCCGTCCTCGCCGGCTTCAAAATCTATAAATAGACAGGAATTATTTAAAAATTTATTCGTACACGAATGCGCGAATCTTTTATTACAGTTGTCTCTCTCTTTCTTTCTCTTTGCCTATTTTAAACAGTTTATACGATACAGATAAAATAGTATATATATATATTTGCTAAATTTAATTTTATTTTCAACGAGAGGTCTCAATTTCGAACAAGGTTTACGATTAGTCATATGTAAGAAAATATTAACTAATATTTGTGAACATTTAAACTTATAACTATAGATGAATAAGAGAGTACTCATTTATTAAAGTATACGATTATATGGGAGGGATTCGTATATTGTATATAAGATGACTTATATCTTAATATTATCGTCAGAAGTATACATCGCGTGTAGTGCCTGATGCTTATGACGATGAAAGAAATGTAAGATACGAATATGATGATATGTACAGTTTGATTTGCGAAATTAATAAGATGAAAGTACCAAGAAAAATTAAATAATACCGAAATATCAACGCGTTAGATAATCGACGCTTGAAAAGTTTCGGAATTATTTCGATTAAAAAAGAACGACATTGCCGAATATCTAAAGGCAAACAAAAATAAAAATAATGAAAGTCTCCAAGTCAATGTAGAGATACTTACCTAATGGTTTTCTGATGTTCATTAGCCCAGAGTTGTGAGAAAGGTCCTCTTGGTCTGAGTCTGCAAGGCACCAGGACACATTCACAGGGGGTGCATCACACACATTCCACAACACGTCTAAAGTGTCATTTGTCAATTGTCTTTATGTGCTATATTGGAATATCTATTTGTCGGCGATGGATTCAATTATAAAAGAAAATATTTTGATTATCATAGGTTTGTATATTTACTTTTAATTTTTTTATCTTCCTATCTTCGTTTTCTAATTCGCTTTCTCTGATAAGATTCTGATAAATAGTAATTCTGATTTTCAATATTTTTTTTTTTTTT